CATGTAATTTTTTTCCAAACTCTAGCAGCAACTATAATTTCCATCGATCCGCACTTACCCTTTAATACGTTCCAGTAGTTAACCAAGACGACTTCGTGATCATAAAAAAGCAATACAACTCGAAATTTGTGCTGTTAGAATAAGTATAAATTTTGAAATATATTCAAATTATGACCTAAAGGATACATTGATAAAACAAACTTTTTTTTTGAAATGTTAGTTCTGAGGGTAAATGTGCGAGAAATAACAGAGCTATTACATTTTCCACTACGTATTTTTGGACTTGCCTTTTTGTTTTTGAACTATAAACAAGAGGGAAATGGTCTTCCCATTTATAGACAGAAATACCATCATAAAAATCAAAAAATATCAGTTCTTTTCAATGACGGTAATTTTAGCAAGGAAGGCAAAAAACACGATTAAACGCTTTCTACTCCATTTTTTCTTTGATCTTCTCCAAATTTAATAACCTACAGTTGCTCAACGACAGATGTAGCGTTGGGAAATCTCATAGGCTTTCTTAGACTTGTTAGGAAAGCTTTTCTTTGTGGCTGATATTATAACTATCTCTATGATGTTTCACTCCTCATCTCTCGAGCGCTGCCTCTAGCTTTCTACTATCTGCGAACTCCAAATCTATCTATTTGTTGTCGATGGTCTCTCCGTACTCTGAAGAGGCTTACCTTGCTCTCCATCTTTGAAACCACTGAAAAATGCGTGAAATGCTCAAAAGACATTATTATTTTTTTCTTATACTCGTTGCTGGTTGGCTGACTGGCCGTCCATTCGGACATCTCAATTTCATTTATAATTCGCCCATCGACATCGGTCGACGCGTCGCGGCATCGTCATGGTCGTCGTCGTCGTCCAAGCGGCGATAGCGGCCGCCCCTTTCTCTCTCGGCCCGCTTGCGGTCCTTAATCGCTCCTTGGATTTTTGGCGGCGGATTCTATGGCATGCTGCAGCAAACACCTCTCATGTGTGCGTATTTGTCTCAGCCTCTCATTCTCTCACGCGCTACCTCTCCTCTGTAGGGCCAGCTCGTATGCAAGTGACTCGTGCGCTAAGAACAAATCCGTTACAGCTTAATGTGATGAGCATTTCCTTGGCTCACTATACGACACGAATCCTGGGTTAAATTGGGCTTTTGTTCAAAGTTTAGGTCCATCTAGATAGCACACCTCGAACTGCCTAGCACGACGTGTTTTTGCCGCCATTTTCGGCAGTGGATCCGTTTTCGGACAAGTGCGCTCCTCAGTTGGACGCCAGCCAACTCAGCGCTACACTAACTATCGTGTGAGCGATCCAAGAGGCAAAACAGCTGAGTGAGTATGTTACAACATACACTCGTCGTCTACGACGTCAATGTCGTGTTCACGGGACGGCTCCTTAGGGAGCTCACACCGATGCGGAGAGAATAGAATATTCGAGGTCTCGTAAATGTTCATTGGTGAATCTCTCAACGTGTACACTGAATTCCGTATTTGTCAATTGATCCTACATGAAAAAACGTCTATAGATTCTTATCACCAGGTAAAATTATTGCATCACGTTTCTTTCAAGTAACATGTGCAACTAATCTCAAAAAAGTCTTCAAAAAACGTTAGGAACATAAAAATTTTCGTCAAATAAGAAATAAAAACATGAACCTTTTTAAAGAGAGACTATGCATACGATATAAAACATTAGCACATGCTTTAAAATCCACTATTAAAAAACTGTTGAAAAACCGCTTGAGAATGTACAGTTTTCTTGCCAACATTTGGCTGAACGTGTAAAATTTTTCAAAAAAATGTTGCCCGCTGAGGTTGGTGTTTACCAGAAATTGTGATTAATACATCTAGTAATCAAAAAAAAATTTT